GGTGCATTAGTAGAGAGCTTTGGTAACGACGATAAAACTGACTTTCTCAGAATTTTGGCCGAATTGAGTTTCAACATTGAATTTCAATGCGAGCACCACCAGCTAACCATTTCTTTATTATTTCTTTTTACTATTTCCAGATACCACGAATGTATAGTGTTGTGCCTGCCTAACAACTCTCTACTTAGTAGCTCTATAGAATCTATTCTTTGGAATTTCAGAAAAAAATAGGTCTCAGGGTGATCCTGCAGCTAGGGCAACAGTTAGAAGACTGAATTTGAATCAACCACAAGTTCAGCTCCTACTATGGCTATGAAAAATTTACCTGTTTCGATCCCATCAACTACTCAATCAGCAGTAGCGAAGAACACCACAACATCCGTTCAGATCTGTATCCCGCTCTTTCGAGGGGATTTCAAAAATCCTTGAATACTCATAATTGCTCCTTTGCACGGAAATCTTTAGTAAAAGGCGAAAGATTTTCTCGGGTAAATGCAATGGAGCCAGAGATAAATGGGACCACCCATTGAGGAGCGCCATTCTGCTGTGACCAGTACAATCGGCGGTTTATATCAAGTGGCTATCTCTGGCGGGATAGTGTGCAGGTGGAAGGAGACCTCCCGTGCAGTCAATCGCCCAACGCTATTCCATTGATGTTCTCTCGCGGAGAATTTTGTTCTTCGCCATGAAACTCGAAAACTTGTTTTTGTTTAAGTGAAATTTCTGAAGAAACTATTCTACCCGCCAGGAAATCCTTTCTAGCCGTCTCAGAAACACCTTTGGTGACTATTTTGCAGTCAGTGTCATAGGTCCTTAGACCCTTGCTGATCCCAAGAAAATGGTGAAACAGTCACAATATCGATATTGAATTTGCTTTATTAGATAAATAGTAAGCTCAATCAATCACAATTGATAGGTTTACGATAAAACGAGTAAGCTCGTAGTGGTCGCATGGGCAAGGAAAGAGAGTACAGACGTTGCTGTATCGATGACAATCCCCAAGTGAGCTGTTCAGGTTGCTCTGCACTTCACCGTGTTCACATAGCTAAAAGTCACTGGTTATTGTTCCAAAAACTTAGAAAAATTGGGACATTTGCCGTTCAGAAGTCTCTAATTGTGATCGGTCTCTAATTGTGATCGTAGAGCCTTTATATTCAGCTGAATACCGGTTCTATCCATTCTTTTTAAGAGGTTCCAATTCATTTCAACCAATTTCCTACCAGATATTCATTACTTGATACGCTATATTAAGATTTCAAGGGTTCTCAAAGCATAATCGACCGATAGCCGAGTGAAGAACAGTTCTACGGAACCAAAGGATCTATCTTTTGAAGAAGTCACAATGCTATCTACGTCTTTATGTATTTTGCCAGTCATTTTAGAGCAACAGATGTAAAAACCCTCTTGCGTATTCAAAATGAAGCGCGAAGGGATTGCGTATGAATCAACAAGACCACTACGGCTTGTATCAAATGATGGTTGAATCTCAACAAGGCCAGCTCATCTGTTCACCCTTTGGCCTTGTACCCTAGCCCGAACTCCTACGATTGCTAGCCGCTAAGGATTATATGGGATTCAAAGTGCGGAAGCAGCAGGCCATTACTACTTCATGTCAGCAAAAAATGTCCATACAAAATAAAAATCCTTGTTCGTACAACATGGGTAGCATGTTCCGAAAATGTTCTGTTGAAAATAAAGTTTGGACACGCCTCCTCACATGGCCAGCATTTTGTTCCCCGACAACTACTTGTTTTATAAGAAAACTTTTTAACACTCACATGTACGATCCTGCAAGTGAAGTACGCCAGGATCCTTTGAAGCAGGACACAAGAGCGGTGACGTCCTTACCGGATTTTGGTGGACCTTCCCCATTGAACTAAATGAAAATACCCTTTTGTTTATATATCATAAAACATTTGCGATCCTTAACAGTGAATCTTCTAAGAGTTATAGTCCTCCGAAAAGTGTAGTGTAAACTAACAATCATATTCGATCTGGTGAAACCGGCCGGAGTTTTGCAGATGATATTCATTTGACGACATCCTTGAGGGGTATTCGGCAGCACCCTAGAAAGAAGCTTATCGAGAACTATTTCTCGCTGTCTCACGCTTTTCAGTCTCACTTGATTAGGACAGAAGGCATAGAGCTTGTCAATGGCGATGCGGACAACGCCTTTAACAAGATAAGCTTTCAGAGTAAGGTACTCGTGAAGAACAAGTGTCATGGGTGCAGGATCACACTATTGTATTTCAGGAGAAAAGGCATTTTCATACAGTCCCTTCGTTAGTGTTACGTTGTACAGATCCATACCCTGCCTTCTACAGGGGTCACTATTATCAAGTTTAGTGCCACCAGATACATGGGTAGTTCGGATCGTGAGCACCATGACAAGGTCCGATCCGAAATCGCATTCTCATGCTACACATACATAGGTCACTTCCCACAAGACCGACTTTGAAGGGCGGACTGGATTGGCTCCGTTCGACCTGAGAAATACGGAAACGAAGTGTTCTTCTCCCGCTGCCCAATCCGTTTTCATGTATATGAGCATGGTATCACCTTCATTCCCCTCTACTCCGGTTCAAACTTTTCAAGGTCGATATGCTCATAATACCAAATCAAGTAACTTACTTTATAGTAGGCGTGATTGATCCCTTGGTACCATCAGCTGGTATGAGAGTTACTGATTTGGGCATGCATGTAGCACAAACTGTAGAAGAGCAGTATAATAGTGAACAATAGCAACAGAAGATCAAGCGCTGTGACTTACTATCAACTATTTTCGAATGTATCGAAAATGTTTATTAGATGTGTAATTCCAAAAAAAAGAGTATTTCGAATTGAATATCCTCGAAAGGTCATTTCTGTGAACATATCGAGTCAGGTCGACTAGGTTAGTGAAGCGCATGTAGACTATTTTGAATGTCTAAAACATCTAATTGCTGAATTCCTATAATTTGTAAATCCCAACGATATCTCATCTCTGAAGTTTGAAACGAATGCAGTCATCAATTCCAGATCTTAGAGCTGTACACACCTTGCACCATCTCCGTTTAACATGATCTGTATCCCGCTCTTTCGAGGGGATTGCAAAAATTTTTAAATACTCATAATTGCTCCTTTGCACGGAAATCTTTAGTAAAAGGCGAAAGATTTTCTCGGTTAAATGCAAAGGAGCCAGAGGTGCTGTGGACTTCCCACTTATAGACGCTATAGAGCTGTGCCCCGTATAATCAGCGAGTAACGAAGTTTGTTCTATCGCCCCAGAGAGACGGCAGGTGGGAGGAGACCTCCCAGTCGAACGACCGCCTCGTGTCATTTTAGCAGGAGGGCGTTCACATTGCTCGAAAAATCATTTCGTTCAATTTAAATTCATCGGCAAGGCTATTACTGATTGTGAACAGAAGTAGCAACAGCGACAAAAAAGGAAGTCAGGAACTTTTGAAGGAGATTCCTCCGACTTGATCAGTCCCACCAATACTTCCCTGGGAATCTCCTATGAATCTAAATTTCTTTCAGAAGTGGGAAGAAGCGTGAAAGCTTATCCGCCTGACGAGGTTTACGGAGCTCAGCCGATTTATAAATTAGCGCTTTTCCCTGAATTATGTGTGATTCCAATTGAAAGAGAGCTGAATGCTGCTTATTTTTGTAGCCTTCGTCGTCGAGTCGTGGTCTTCGCACTGTGCACATTCGCAGATTTTCAAGTTTGAAATATTAACTCACGTTGAGCCGATACCTGAAATGGAAATTTACATTCGTTACACCATGAAGAAGTGATCGTAAACACTAACCAGAGTGGTGGAAGTCAGCACCAAAATCAGCGTCCCAGCCAGAGCCGATCGAAACATCTGGAAAAGCTCGACAGTTTTCTGAGTCTGGGCGTCTCGATACAAAACTGAACGCTGTCAACTGTTCCCATTTACAGGATTGGGGATTTCCACGATCTTTTGCTCGAAGTTCATAGAGTTGCGAACAGATCGCCGTTTCCAATTAAGCAAACCCCGAACAAAAACCAAAGACTATCAATGATTCCAGCGTGGATGAACAAAACACACATGCATAATTTCGAACGTCAGCTAGTAGGCAGATTGGTAGGTGGGTATTAGGAAGATTTACAAGAAGGAGGGTATGTAGGAAAGTAGACTGGTATAAGGTAGGTAGGTACGCATGGTAGAAGGTTTGCCTGCCTTATCCTTTTTGAGTCAAGATTTAGGGATTTGGATAGTCATAGTTTGGGAAAGGCGTAGAGAGTGAAACTCAGTTCATCCAGTACTAATCACAATGAATGGGTGAATGGGTTCCGATGATTAGGTGAGAGTCAAAAAAAACCTGCTATCTTCCTGGGAGGTGGTCTGGGCCAAGGAATAAGGCAAGCATAGAATTAATTAATTCGCATATGAATTAATTTGATAAGGAGGAAGTTCAAATGCATGGCCAATCTCGCTAGCGATTGATCAGGTATGAAGTTTTAGCTGTTATAAATGCTCGAAAACAACTCCGCCCCAATGTTTACCTCGGTGAAACGCAAAGATTTACATAGAAATCCTACTGAACCGAAAATTCCCTGATTGTCAATCAGCATGAGCATTGATAAGCCGGTCAGCATGGCCTCGGTGATGTTCGCTGCTTCCTTGTGTCAAATTTTGTAGGCAGGTGAAACCGGGTGACTGCTGCAGAATGAAATTGAACTTCGGGATCAAGCTCCCCAGAAGATACTTCTTCCCCAGTGGACTCAGTATGAGAGTAGATTTGAGACAATCTTCTTCAAATGCTCCAGGCTAGGTTGATCTGCTTGGCTTATCCAACTCCTAATCGCACACCTCTTTGAAGAGCCTCCTTCGACGGAGTTTTTTACTCCTAAGTAAAACTCGTGGAACTCGGGTGAGATTTTTAGATTTCCTGCCATTCAGCAGTATTCAGCTTTTTAATCCTGAAGGTCTTGAAACCAGCACTAAGAAAAGTGTGACTGATGTTTAAGATGCTTAGTCGGTGTGTTTTTTAGCTTGACCCTGATCACAAGCTCGAATGCACAGCTAGAAAAAGGGAAACTCGAGAAAAGCACGAAGCGAAAACTTGGACTTGAAGACGAACAAACTGGCTCTTTTCAGAGTAGGAAAGCGAAGTTTCTCGAGTGGATGCTTTCACTGCAACTTACACTTTACTAAAAGCACTGTCCAAACTTTCGGCGAAAATTACTGTCGTCTGTAAATTGCCTTAAGCTTTGTTCTTCAACCACTGTTCACACCGAACGGCTGTAGGTGGCCTTTGTTCTGTGCGGAACTGTGTGAGGCTATGATCCGTTAATTCCGCTAAGCTCTGAACGATTCAGCGATTTCGAGAGCAGCGACCAAAAACTCAGTAATACCCCTCCAAATCGGACCATAAAAAGCTGTGTGAGCTCTTTTTGGTCGATTACCGTGTTCTATAACGATGAACCGACAACTACAACTCGCGTCACTCCTTGTGATCGCTGGCAGTATCTTGGTGAGAATACTCAACTCTCTGTGGAACTGTGTGTGTTTGTTAAGAAGGAAGGAACGGCAAAGACGGCTTTCCTTCTTTGAGATATTGAAGACAGCTGAAGCTTATGTTCCAACTTGATCCGTTGTAAGCATCTTTTCAAGGCGTCTGCAATTTTTCTTTCTCCTGGGCAAAACCTCCCTAAAAGATGAAATTTTGTTCGGGAGATCGCTGTCATACTCAGCGACAGGCGGTCGCGAGATTATTGAAGTATAGCATGGAGCCTAGCGAAGCAGTTTGCTAAGAATCGTTCCATTCTGGGAACGGATAGGACATGACACCACACACGAGTGGGCAATCACTTTGAGGTCACAGCACTTCGTACCGAGAAGTCCCGTGTCTGTCTGCTGTCTCTCTGAACTGCACACTATCTCAAATAATCGCCGTCTCTTGTCGCCAAAAGTTATTGCAACCAAAACAATGATATCACAGATTCCGAATACATTAAAAATGCAAGTGTAGACTTCTATTAATACAAAACGTGAAATTATTGTACTCCTTTTCTATACTACAGTGTTGTTATTTCAGACAGCCACCACGACAAAGAAGCCAGTACGTGAGTATTGAATTCTGCCTCACGATCAGTTTGCAAAGTTCATGTATCAGTCCCCTACCAAATGGCTGGACATTTGGGCGCACATATTTATTATTGTTGACGATTTTCGGTTCTCATAGATGCATCAGCCGCTTCGCAGTCGCACGCCCAGTTGTCATTTAATCTGGCATCAATTATCTGCAGGTATACAGCTATACCTGCATACTTTCAGCCTTATGTGGAAAGTGCATGCCGGCGAAGGTGGCACTGATTCCGGCTAATGGAACAGGGACCGTCAAACCTACCATTAAGTGAGTCCGTAGTAGTAACTGAGAAACGATTTTTAAATGTAAGGAGCCTGTTTTCGAAGTCCAGGCCATCTATGGATTTGGTCCTGAAGGGATTTACTCGAAAGAAAAACAGTAATCACCAATATATTTCAACAGCCTACAGCATATGTTTCTACCCTAATAAAAACAAAGTTATTGCCTCTTTTTTAATCGACATTAATCGATAATGTCTGAGAGTGACGTGTTCAGGATGTTAACGAATACAGCTGCAGGCTGTAGACGAATGCATGTGATCTGTGCCGCACCAGCTGGCGGAACAATAGCTTCCATGGAGGTACGCGGAAATCGAATTATTGACTGTTTTTTACAAGAATTACTGTAGCAGTTTTACAGTTTAACAGAAGAATCGGTGGAGGTTATGAGGCGAAAACGGTCACTGCGTTGCTGAAATGTAATGCAAAACAGAATTGGATCTTTACAAAAGATAAAGTATCACTGTGAGTTGGAATATTTTTTAAACTAGTCCGAGTTCACAGTTTTATTTGTCCCGAGAAAGTCATGGTACATATTGCGTAGTTGTCAAAATTGTCCGGGTTTCCTTCCGACTTCCACGGACTTTCTGAACTGTTCTTTCGAAAGCTCACAATTTTTTGAACCTTGCTGTAATTCAGCCGAGATACTTCGAGTGACTGTGACTTTCTTAAATAACTTTCACAAAACACCTCTACTATTAAATTTCAGAGCCATAAACGCTGTCAGTTGCATGTACGTCTAGGTAGACAGGACGGGGCACGCACCATCCGAGTACTTCTTGCTTGGAAATCCAGTAACTGTATCTCAGCTTCATCGGAATAAATATTATTGTGATTTGTTTTTGATTTCTTTTTCAAACAACCATATATAAAATTTATTCTGCAAATCGCATTGAAGCACTGAAACACCGGGATGACGTGACCTCACGAAGGAGCTGAGTTCTAGGAGGAGACAGTTGACGTGGTACATAACTCGTACCCACATTTGTGCTCTCCTAGCACCGGACTCAACATCCTGCTAAGCCCTGCGCGCTATCAAAGAAAGATCTGCTAACAATTGATGGATTTGTCGCCGCCAATCCATTTGAACTTTAGTGAAATATTCATAGCTCCACACAGTTTCTGCTGAAAATGTCCCTGAAGAATTCTTATCAGTGGGACTATGGCTCCAAAAGATCCCCGTAGACAGAATTCGTCCGAAAAGCACAAGAAGGACTGAAAACGGTATCGAAACCTTCTGTTGCTGAATACTCCCGGTGGAGACCGTGTTCTAAGGCCTTATAGATATGATACATTCAATTGAAGTGGAACCCCTTTTTTTCAATGCATTCAGGTGATACGCGCTCATAGGCAGGGCAGATTACTCTGCCTCCACTGAAATCTCGTCCAAACACCCCTTCGTTTTCATAACCTCGTCCAACCACAAGAATGATTAGTTATCATAGTTTAGTTTATTCTTTGCTGATTTGCTCATGCTCTCAAGACACAGCTTACACCTCTCTTTTTGGATAATAGAGGCTCAATAGTGTTATGTGGCCGGATTTCTCTAATCTGACATTGATGTCCTTAACGGAGATGGCTTTCAATGGAATGTCTCCGATGGGCTTGCCATTGGCAGGATTGCGTCAGAACAATGTCCTACACACAGCAGGTGCCATAACGTGGATAGCCTAACAGGTGACCCAAACGTCGGCTTGTGATTCAATTTGCCGAATGGCGTAACGATTGCGCTACCCTACTCAAAGCTGAGGGCCGTCATTTACTCGAAAAAGGACATGGTGTCAGGTTTCGTTGAAGGTATGGGCTTGCTGGGAGTTCTCAAGAAACTTCATAGACATTAAGTTATTTTCACGGTTTGGTGTCTAAAAATAGGTAAAATAGCCAAAATGCCGAAAATATTGCGATGTTGCTTTTCGGTCCTATGCTACGCTGGTTTTTAAGGAAAATAATAAAGGTTGTACTAATATCGGAGGCTAAATTAGACAATAACCAAAAAACACTTCCACCCACACCCTTGGACTCAATTCCCACTCCATTCCCTGACCTCTCCAAGATGATTCGCCCACATGATGAAGGCCATAAACACAAGGGTCCTATTCAAACGCGCTATGCGTTCGCGCTCTTTCGAGTGAGCGTGACGCCGATTGGCAGGTGGTATACAATGTCAACCAATCGAGTCACTTTTGAATAGGGTTGAGGTGACCGAATGATATTGTACCGTGGCCTAAGCTTCATGAAAGTTTTGGGATCGATCCCAACAAAATCGATACTGAATCGATAAGCCAGACTCGTGTCTCGCTCTTTGGTGATTTGAGAGGTTACTCAAAGAGAAAGAGAACGTTTAAATACATTTTTTTCAAAAACCATATGAGAAAGAGGTCGGAGTGAGGGAAAAACTTCCATGAGCTCCTGAAATGAATCTCATTATGGAAAGGCAAATGGGAAAACGGAGAAGCTTGGGGAAATAGAGGAAATAGGTCGTTTTACCCTTCTTTCTTCAACTTTCCACCTTATTCTGATTATTATCCATTCAAACTGGTAACACTGTTGCTTGTTTGTTTACCAAAGTTGGGACAATAGTAAACAAAGTCGCCCGTACGGACATGGCCCGAATTTGAACTTAACATCGAGTTCTGTCTGAACCCTCCAAGCGTTATACACTTTGTGTGGATCCTCATTCAACATACATCAGATTTGTCTGGGATGAGAGAAACCGTGTTCAAACCAGCCCCTTGAATGATTTTGTTGAGAAATATGAATTCAATCAAATCTTCAATTTTTAGGCGGTTTCCAGGGCATGGCTAATCCCAAAATAATCGATCGGATGATTCTCGTAGCAAAGGGTACACTATTTGTACACGTTGCGCCACATTCCCACAGTAAATGTCTGCGTCGATTATCGATTGATGACCACCAGGTGTGTTGATTATACTTCATGACCAAAATTATGGACCAGGGAAGACAGTGTATGGGAAAATCTACCGTATTCCTCCATTGTGCAAGGAAACGCTTTCTTATTACGAATCATTTATTAAAAGTAGTCCTTGGGACTGTAGCGGTTCAACCGTAATCAACGAGGCGAATAATTAAAGTATCAAAAACTCAACGGGTCCATATTAAATACACGAGATCAGCGAGTCCAAAATACAGTAACTTATGCCTTAGGGGCAGCAGCTTTCTTGGCCGTTGGCTTCTTGGCGGCTTTCTTCACTGCTGGCTTCTTCGGGGACTTGGCGCTTTTGGGCTTTGCGGCAGCCTTCTTGGGTGATTTCGGCTTCTTGGCTATCTTTGCCTATAACATAATTATTCAAATAAATATCATCTGAAGAAAAGTAAAGCAAAAATCTGAATCATACCTTCTTAGGCTTGTCACCGGCGGCCTTCTTAGGCTTGGAAGCAGTTTTCTTCTTTGGTGTTCCGGCAGCTTTAGGCTTTTTTTCCTTCTTTGGCTTGGATGCGGCTGGAGCAGCAGCTTTTTCAGCCAAACGGAATCGTCCTGCAGCTCCGGTACCGGAGGGTTGAGTCAATGCACCGGAGCTAACTCCTCTCTTCAGAGCCATACGAAGATGAGCATTGATCTAGAAATAACTGATGAATGAAAAGGCATTAGATCAAGATATTTCCCATGTAGAATCTACCTGCTTCTCGTTGGTTCCCAGTTTGTACTTCTGAGTCATAAATTTGAGAATTGCTTGTTTCGAGGCGCCTTTGCGATCCTTGAGCTCTTTGAGAGCGGCTTTGATCATGGCAGAATAGACTGGATGAGATGGAGCAGTTTTGGGCTTCTTCTCGCCTTTCGGCTTGCTGACCTAAAAAGAAATCGGATTTCCAAAATAGAGACAAAATAGAGTCCGTGAAATAGCTAAAGCCAATGGACAGATGGACAGACCTTGGTCTTCTTGACCGGAGCTGGGGATGCAACTGGAGCAGCGTCACTCATTCTGTAGAGCTGGGGTTATGTGATGAACTCGAGAAACGAGTATGAGCGACGCCGGTTGTGCGCCCTTTATAACGCGGGTCGGGTCCTCCCGACGCGACCCCACATTCGGCTGTGGCGGGAAACCGCGGCGTCTCCTCGGACCACCGATCGCTGACATTTATTTGAATCATTTTGTGTTGAATAACAAAAGACAAAGTTACCTGGATTACAGCAATAATGCTGGATATGGAATATCCCAAATGGGAATCCCAAAAACTCTAACTTTAAGGTTTCGATTTTGTAAAAGATCAAATTTATACGAAGGCGGTGGGAGGGATGCTGAGTTAGGGCACCTAAATGTAAGAATTACATTTGCAAAAAATTATTTGTTCGAGCCTTCGGCTGTAAAAATGCTTGATTTGTTGCATTTATCCATTAAAATGGCTTGAATTCTCCGAATATGCTGATGCCGAGTCATAGTAGCCTGGCAACCTTACTGATAAAAACACTACTGGACCCTCTTAGGACGTTTTTTTTTGGGATGAATGTTGAAAAATATAAAAATGTCTGAAGGAACAGCAGTGCAATGAAAAATCTTTCAAAGTGGATGTCGTCAAAGCCAAGAAAAGTTTCTCTTCCAAAATGATGTAGTTGGCGTTACATTGAAGTGGGGTTTACATAAAGGACCTTTACCTAACTACTGCATAGGAAAAATTTGCTGATACTCGAAGATTCTCATAGGAATCGAATGTGTAGTATTTCCCAAACTTTTTAGCCTTTAAGCACGGTGGATTATATCACTCTTACTCATTTTAGTAAATTAGTTATAATTAATTATTTCAGGGAATACCTTGGTAACAAACCTAATAAACTTTTTAATCTCGTCCTCCGTTCTCTCTTTCTGTCTTTTTCCTTGTGTCCATGCTCTCCCACATTCCTACACAATTAACTCGACAAGATAAGATCTTTGGTTCTGAAAGGCAACGTCTCCTGATGTGTTCTCACCACTCCCTTCGCCAGTGATAAGATCGATATCGATCCTTATCGATTCCGAGCGCCAAGTTCACTGGACCTCTATAGATTACACCTGAGATGCATTCTGCAAACAAAGTCAGTATTTCAGGCCTGTTTAATAAGAATGATTATAACGTTCTCCTTCATTCATTAATCAAATGTAGGAGAAAGTTACGGTTTGTCCGGAAGAACCCCGGTCTGCCTTTTCTTTTCTTCCTCTCTTTTATTTCATTACTCAGAGAAGAATCTGTCAAGTCTATGTGGTCTCCAACGGAGTGGTTTGGCTGATGTATTATCGGGATGTATGAAGTGGTAGACATCAATGAACCTTTAGCTCATCTTCTTTCCATTTGTCCCATCTGGCTACGAACTATACAACTACCTTTGTCTTTTGGTTAATTCATGGCGCATTCTTTCGTCTGATCACGGTTCGACGTGCCCATAAGGCAGGTACATCTCTACCGTGAACTCTGTCTCTTGTGATAGGACTCGAGGTATAACCACAGGGCTAATCTCTATGTACTTGGACTCAATATCCGCACGTTGATATATTTTACCATTTTTGACCACTTCTTAGAATTTCTTTCCTACTTAACAGACTTACGACTGGAGAAGAAGAGAGGAGATGACAAGGGTTGAGCTTTACCGAACAAATGGTCATGGTTCTATGAAACTATATGAGGTGCGAATCCCTGCCGAATCGAGCTTTCCATTAGCGACTAATTAACAGGGACTGATTTATCATCCGACTTTTTTCTGATCGTCTCCTTCATTTTTATAAGATGGCACTTTTTCCAATTCGTTCGACTGAACCTTTTTCAATCCTAACAGACAATCGACGGATTGTAATTGTCGGTTCTACATCAAAAGGTAAAGAGACCTTGTAAATGTAGCGATCAGTGGTTTTTATGGCCATGCCGAGACAAGATGTACGCTTTGTTAACCACTTGCATAAGTTTTCGCAAAACTGATTTGCCGACCAGGGTATAGCGAAGTATTGTGGTAAAATACAATGATATAAGAGCCGTATGAAATTATTCGGTTTGCTGGAAACGTTGAGCCTCTGATGAAGGCACATTTGAAGAAGCCAGATGGTACAGGAAACCCTTTGGAAGTCGAATTGAGGCAGCTCCGGCAAACAAATTGGTCTCTGCAAAAATAACGATTTTCAAGAGGTGAAGCTGATTTCTCAGATATCTCATTTTGCTGAAAGGCAAGAAGTGTAGGATAGATGGGGAGAAGCTCCAAAATGGTTGACAACGGAGTGCGGTCAAAATCAAAGGAACGCTGCCTGAGAATCAGGTCGACTTCTGAGTCAACCTTTGAGCGATGTTCACTACGTGCTTCGGCGATGGACAAGAGAATCCTTGGGATACGCCGGAAGATCAAGGTGAACAGAATCCGGAGTCTCCAGATAGGAGTGAATGGAAGGCAGAATCCATTTCTCTGTTGAGGATGAAGCTCTTATGTAATCTGCTCTTTCCACTACCGTTCTCCCAAAACTGTTATTCCTTGAGAAGTTCTTCTAATGTTTAAAAAACAGCTTATCATTCGAACTGGAGAGAATCAAAACGTGCAAAGAATGCTCCCTAGAGTTACCTGAAGAACACATGTACCTTTTTTCTGTGCAACCGTACCAGGAACATCGAAATGGATTTGTTAGAGCAAGAAATCCTCAAAAATTAAACCAGAACTTGAAATGCTGAGCACTTTACCCCCTCTCCCCTCTTCATCTCCCCCATCTAACATTCCCCATATATCTCACTTCTCGCCTTGCTCCAAGACTCATACCAAACCAGAGGCGCTCTTGACCTCACCATCAGTACTGAACAGCTTAAAGGGTACATTGTATCGATTTATTGAGGCTTGCCTGGGCATGGAACTTGTCAATACCAGTTTGCATCTGTCAGAAACGTGAACTGGCATGTCGAGCATCTTAGAAACATGGCAAGCCTCGTGTAAGTAATGCTGTGGGAAAACACCGCCATGAATTGGATTAGTTGGGCCCATAGTCCGTCCTTGGCTGTCTTCGGCCCAGCTCTACTGTTCCCTCTTCTATTTTGCTTTTTCCCCCCTAAATAGTTCATGGTGAAGATGGGGTCGTTAGAGGGGAAGAACCTTCACATGCATCTAGTCTAGCCGAGAAGGCGGCGAAGCACCGTTCAAAGAAATAAAA